TGATTGCTGCTGCTTGCTGCTACTGCTGATTGCTGCTACTGCCGCTGCTTGCTGCTGCTGCTGCTGCTGCCTTACTGCTGCCGCTGCTTGCTGCTGCTGCTGCTGCTTCTGCTTTGCTGGCTGCTGTTGCTGGGGTGGTTGTTCATTGCATGTGTTGGGGCTTTCGGGGCGGGCACTGTTGGTGCTTTCTTTCTCTGCCCTCAACCATGACAAGTCTCCACCCTCTTTCAATTTCGTTGCGCAGCCCCCCCGAAACTGCACGAAAACCAAGGGTTGTGGAGGCCAAACTTGTGTGTGCTTTGGTGCTTTGCTGCTGCTGCTGCTACTACTGCTGCTGCTGCTCCTGCTGCTGCTGCTTTCTGCTTTGCTGTGCTGCAGCTGCTGCTGCTGTTGCTGCCGCTGCTGTCACTGCTTCCGCTGCCGCCGCCGCTGGTGCTGCTGCTGGTGCTGGTGCTACCTTTTTGCTTTGCTGCTGCTGCTTTGCTGGTTTGCTGCTTCCGCTGGCTGCTTGCTCCTGCTCAGAAACTTCCACCTCTACCTTTCGTCCACCTCCGTCGCCTCAAGTATGTGTGTAGTTTGATTCTCTACCACAAAGACACCACCACCGTTGGATCGCGCACATTCCGCTACTTGTTCTTCAAGTTTCTAGAACACCTCGCCTCGGCCTTTCAGAAATAAGTTTCATTGCAGCATCCGGCTTGAACCATTCATAGATGCATCTTGGTGGGCAATTTTAGAAAGCCTGTGTGCATACCCGCGTGCCTTTTGTTATTTAACACTTTGAAATGCGTGATCGCGTCATACATAACTCCCACGGGAAGTGCTGAGGAAGCCGACCTTGAGATCGAGATAGTGCAGCGCTTGGGAAAGACCTTTCGCGCTAATCGAACAAATGTGTTCTCCATTCTGTACTTGTCGTTGTGCGAGGTGCGCCGGGACAAAGCCCAAGCTGCCAGAGAGAAAGAATTGTTAGCGGTCTGGCACTTGGGGTGCATGTTTCTGTCGCTCAGGTATCGCACACATATTATGTATATATATATGTGTAATGGTTTACCGTTGAACGGAATTTATTTCACCAATTTTGGCAGGTGCGTGGACAGTTCGACAAAGCCAGAATCACTTGGGAAAGCAAAGAACGAGAACTGGAGGCAGAGGGTGAGAGGCTGCTCATTCTGGCATGCTCAGCTCCAAGATTGAAGTTGTCAGGTGCTTGTTCGTACAAGGGACCGATTGGTTACTTCTCTCAAGAATGAGATCGAATTGGTTGCAGAATCTTGGGAAGTAAAGTATCCAGGTGGCACTAAAAGTTTTTTGTTTTTTTTTTCAAGGTTTGACCTGGTCGTTTGCTCTCTGAGGTATGACAAGCTCCTCAGCCTTTTCGACAAGCTGCAAAAGAAGTATGACGAACTGTTTGGACCCCAGCACTGCAAATGCTAAGCAGCAATGTCCAGATCGTCAAGACATTTGTGGAACTTTTCCCGAATGTATAGCGAAGGGTTCTTGTTTGAAGTGAGGTCATGTTTGCTCGACGGTGCTGACTTTTCAAAGTGTGTGGCATCCGTGTCGTTTCGTAATTAAATTCTGATTAAACTTAGATTAGTTTTACTTATAATTCTATTGAATTCTTGTTTATAGTAGCTTCTTGTTCCTGGTAGTGAGGCCAGGAGCCCCTAGTAGCGATGCCGTTTGTGTGTTTTCAGGTGCAGCATTTCGTAAGGTCTACAGACAGCGTCATGACAGGTCCCAGCTCAAGTTGTGACTTTGGTGGATCCGCTAGAAAGTGTTGACGGTTGCAAGCGTGTGGAGGGAGGGAGTTTTGCTATACGCACGAAAGTGTGGAGTCGCTATTCTGCGGCAGTCGCAGGGCTTTGTGCGTGTTCGAGGTGTTTGGACTCAGGTTTTCAAGGCATGACGAGGGAGGGGCTACACTTGGTGAGGGTATGGATCGCTGTGCCATTCAGATTTTTGCAGCTTGGCTGCGTAGTGTGTGGGCGCTTCGATGACAGTTTCCGCCTGACTTTTGGAGGGCATTTTGTGCAGGAAACCTCGCAGGCCAGAGTGCCACACACAAGTGTCCGAAAAGAGTGTCAAGCAAGAGTGTCCTACAAGACAGAGCGTCGCACAAGGGTGCTGCGAGAGTGCTCTAGAAGAGTCTCGCGCAAAAGTGCCCTACGCAAGAGTGCCCCACAAGAACTACAACAGTCGGTTGGCTGCATCTTGTTTTTCAATCCAAGCCTGCGTTTGTTTTGACTTGCCAGTGCCATGTGTGCACAGTGATGATGCTAAGGCTCGGTCCAGGCGGGCTGGCTGAAGTGCCTGCCTTAAAATGCCTGAACATCACAACAGAGTAGCCACTGCTCATAGTGCCAATGTCTTCCAAACCCCGGGCACTTTTTTCACACCCAGTCTTGCATGTGTACGTGCGTGTGCATTCTTCTACACGTGCACGTGTGCATTCGTGCGTGCATGCGTGTCCTTTGAGGCTCTGCGAAGAGCACGAGACTTGAAGGACTTTGCAAGGGTATTGCTGCCGTGACAGTCGGCGGCCACAAGCCAAGTTCTTTCCTTGCAGGAAGTGCAATTTAAGGGGCCAACCAGAAACCAGAATCATGCCAATCAAGGATTACCTTCAACACTTCGTTCACTTTGTTCTGCGTACTGTGTACTGAATACAATGTCTTAAAACAGAAACGGCAGCATTTTGCATTCAACAGTAGCTGCTGGTTCTTCAGACTCTCAGCCGTGCGAGTTGCAAGTAAATTGCAAAATCATTGTGGACACCATTCTTGGATCAAGAAGTTGCTCCCACAACACAGGTACAAAGCGGACATACCTTGGCTGCCTTGACTTCTGGAATCTCAAACAGTTGTTTTGTGCCCAATCGGAATTCTTTGGATGCTTTAGGGTCCAATGCGAAAGGATATATTTTTTTCCCCGTTGGAAAACAGTCTAAAGTCTGGACCTTAAGCGTTCACATGTTAATAATTTTAGACAAAACAAAATCTAACCTAAAAGGACTAGCTTGGCGTGGACGATTTTAGAAGAGAGGGAGTAAAGACACAAGAACTGCTGGTCTTTTAAGGGAAACTTACAGTATAAGTCTTGTTTTTTGTCAAAAAAACGAGGTCCTCTAACTCTATAGAGGTTATAGGCTTGAAGAGGTTGCGCGGTTGATTAAAGAAAAAATATGTTTTTGTTTTGTAGTCCTTGGCTCTGCAAATGGTTTACCATCCATGCCCGTCCCAGAAGACGACCAATATAGATCAATTTAGAGCAGAATACACAATTTCAAACACTATCACTCCAGCCTCAATACAAAGGCACGCGTTCGTTGTTTATTACTTTTGTTTTTTCTCACATAGCTAGCCACCCGTGGTGCTTACCAGTGGCCCAACCCTTCCCAAGACCTTGTGCCCCCAATTTTAGAGATGTATTTGCGGACAGGTCCACCAATGAAACAATGAGCTTTTGTCCATGTGTGTAACATGTCAGGTTTCACGATGCCGCAGGAGGAACAAAAGCCCGAGAGCTACTAAATTTGGTAGCGGAGCCGCCATAGAGCAGATCCAGGGCAAAGCATTTTTCGTAACACCCTTTCGCGCCTGCGTGAATTTTACTTTTCTTGTCCTGCATGTCTTGCTGCCGTGTTGCGAGGTTGTCGAGCCCTTCTCGCATTGCGTTGAAAGTTGTGTTGGACAAAGCGTTGAGCATTGCATTCGACAGCGCAATGAACAAAGCATTGAGCATTGCATCGGACTGCGCGTTGACCATTGCATTGAACATTGCGCGAGCTGTTGTGCATTGCTTTGGACGTTGTGTTGTTGAGCGTTGCCGCAATACAGATTTTGACATGTCGGTGCCACAGACTTCTGGTATCCCACTCATGGAGTACAAAAAGGGCTGCCCACCAGGATGGGGACCTGGAGACAACATGAACGGCGAAGAAGATGTCATCCACGACGCATGGCAAGTTCCTGAAGCTCAGCAACCTCTGCGACACAAATGGGCTGGTGTCACGATCTTCGGGATGAAGCAGAAGGAGAAAGACCATGACATCAGCGAGATCTACGTTGGAAGAGTTGGCCAACTATGTGTCATGCCTTTCCTGAACACATCACCGAAGAGAAGCGCAAGTACCTGGAGAAATTCTACAGGGCCGTTTCCAGAGAGTTCTATTCCAAGTTGAAGAGAAAGCCCATTACTCCGGCAAATTGCTTTCAGTGGGCAAAGAAGCATAGAGGACAACGTTTCCTCTCCTGAAAACTATGCGCTGGGAGCTCACGGCTCTCACTCTTGGCGCTCCTCTCAGGACTATGTGTCACGTTCCCCGTCGACTTCAGGTATGGCTGGGACATTGGCCACACTCCTCATCAACACCTTCTTCGGCAAGTCTACGATGAACTCCAACCAGACGTCATTTTTGGTTCACCGAATTGTCGACCATGGTCAGTTTCCTCCAATCAGAAACCACCTCACCTACAACAGCTGAGGAAAGAAGAAGAACCAGGACTGCGACTCTCGGAGGAATTCTGTCATCGACAAGTTCAAGGATTGCTTCTACCTTCTTGGGTCATCATCATTGTGGACAAGATTGCAGAAAGTTCCATCAACCTGCTCACGAACAGGTCAGTGCTGTTCGATGCGATGGTTGAACAGCAGCAGCCGACCTTGAAGCCCACAGGTCTTCAATCCAATTGAGCACTTCAACAAAGTGTCAAACGATGTGGAGGCCATAGTCAACCACATGCATGGCAAACGAATGGATGCAATCGCGCTACCATTGCTGCTGCTGTCTATCCCATCAAGCTCTGTCGTGCCATCTTGAAGGATGTGAAGAAGATGATCAAATACCAGCAGACCATCTTCTACGGCTGTGAAAGATGCCAACTTGGCAGAGCTGCGCCGTGGCGCATGGAACATTCCTTTCTTCCAGGAGATTGCCGCTGTAAACGCTTTCCCACAGAGCATCCTAAGTCCAAAAAAAACAAAGTAGAACAGAAGAAACAAGATGTTAGAGAAGCTTTTCGTCAAGAAGCTCTGTCTTTCAAGAAAGTCAATGAAGGCACGATTCCTGAGATCGGTCTAAATGCAGAGCAGACCTTTCTCCTCAAATACTCCTCGCAGATCTTGCAGTACAGCGTGGAAGAGTTCGATGACCCAGAGAGCAAAAACCCTGACTATGTTCATTTGGGTCACAGATCCGGTCGTGCTCTCATGGACCAGGGATCTGTGAGTACCACCTGAAGTTCTGCGGTGTTTGTGCATTGATCAAACCATGGACAAAGCCTACTCCAACGCCCAGGCTTCGTCCTGATTCCTCCTTCCTGAGGCTGACGATCAGAGGCACTGTGTCACAATGGCGAACGATGCCGATAGAAGATCTTCGTGATCTCAGTCGCAGCCAATGCCATGAACCAGTTGACTTTGATGAAGATTGGTTGGTTTGTTTCTTTGGAGCCTACCCCTCTCAGTCATCAAGGCCGAAGGCCAAAGAGCAAACCACAGCAACAGCAGAAGACAAAGCGACCGCATCAGCAGCAGCAGAGAAGCCAGCGCAAGCCGGTGATCAGCCGACTGCTTTGAAGCCTCACTATGACTCCAAGAAGATCTACGACAAACTTCCAAAGTTGGCAGCGACAGACGTCGCCAAAGCCAAACGACTTCTACTTGGACTACATGAACGAATGTGGCGCTGATGGACTTCCAGAACCTGCTCAGACGCTGCGGACAGCCCACCGAAGTGAGTGTGCCACTAGACGACCGCAGTTCAAGAGCAGCCTGGCTGAGAATTTTCAATGAAAATGCGCAGATCGATGGTTTCCAGTTCAAAGGCAGCCAATACCTGTTGATGATCGACGAAGCAACTCGATACAAGGTCACTTCCAGGACGTGAACTTCATCGCTGCCTGTCCGTGCTGCAGACTCCTTGGCTGAGATACTTTGGGCCGATGAAGAGCATCACCATGGAGCAAGAATCAATCGATGCTGGAGCCGACTTCGACAGGTTTGGCATCAATAGAATTCCTGCTGGAACCACTAGTGGTCGGGAAGGACAGAAGCACTCTGGCACTGGCCTCGTTGAAAAGCACATCGACTTGATCAAGACGACCATGTCAAAGATCCTTGCAGAGGCAGCGCGATACAACATCGTTGTCGAACCCAATGAGCTTTCAGCTGAAGCTGAAATGTCCCACAACATGACATTGAATGTGGGAGATGGATACACACCGAGCATGTGTGGCCTCGGCGTGTTGCCAAGAGGATATCTAGATCCTCAAGAAGTCCCTCTTTCTGCAGGTGATCTTGGTCATGAACTTTCAACCTTTGAGCAGATCTCTCTGCAGTGCGCTCAAACAAGCATTCTTGAAGAAGACCGCGTCACAAGAGCATCTGTCAAGATCGAGACCGTCAAGAGTTGATCTTGGTGAACTCAAACTAGGATCATCAGAAGTTGAGATTTTCCGAGACGATGGCAGCCATGGATGGCGGTCCTGCATTGCTTCTGAAGATCAACGAAGGTCAAGGCACAGTCATTGTCGAGTACCAGGGGCGACCATACCTGATGTCCATCAGACACACACGTCCCCATACAGAGGTTCCTTTCTGGTTGGTTTCTATGATCAGAACGACGACGACTCCATGGCAGAAAATGTCAAGACACTTCAGAAGTTTGTTGAAGACTGCGTGCCATACAAGAGCCATACCATTGGAGTGATCCTGGACATTGATGTGAACAAAGAGCAGAAATGGCGACAAGTTCCTCTGCAACCGGCCAGCAGAGAACGACGCATGCTGCAGAAGGCAGTTCGCATTGCCAAGCGCTTGCCAAGCGCGTCAGCAAAGGTTCTCCGCAGGGCATTAAAAATGGAAGAGGAGTCGAGACCATCTATGTGCCCAAGTTTTCCAAGGGCATCCTGCGCTCATGGCCTGAGAACTCCACACAGTACACCATGATAGAACAACAACATGATCGTCACTTGGCAGTGAAGCGAGTCATGCCACCTGTACTTGTACTTTATGGTGAGGAACCCATGGCTCGACCTGCTCCAGTGACGACAAGACATGCACCAGAACCACAGTCTATGACTGCAGATGAAGACGCTGAGATGGAAGAGAACCTCAAGAGAGACGCTCCAGACTCACGAGCCGTTGTCCTCGCACCAGAGAAGAAAAGACAGCGGACACATTTCA